TTATTATTATTATTATTATTATTATTATTATTATTATTATTATTATCCATACTGCCAATACGCTGGCCCATGCAGGAGGGGCAAATACAATAATACGATTACAAAGAATTCACCAAATACTAACAGTGAAAGAAGAAAAATGAACAGTGCAAGACGCTTGCTTCGCAAAACAATTTACACAGGTGATAAAACTACAAAAAAAAAACATTTTGAGACAATAGCAGGACACTACAGGCACCTGTTATTCACGACATGATTGCGAGAAAAGTTTAAACAGTGCTCGTATCTATACTCAATTTTAAGATAAACGGTTTTCAAATTCTTTTTTTAAAGTTCTTTGATTGTATGACGTAAACAGGTAGAGAGTTCCGTTCTGTTATCGTAAACTGTTCATGTGAGCTTTCGTTTTGGCAAATATTGGCGTAAGAGAGAAAGAGGGCACTGAATCGCTCACCAACTGGGACGAACACATCACATTTTTAACAGCATCAGAAAAAAAAAAATAACTGAGAGAGAGGAAACGTTTCGGACTTCCCCTTAAACATGGTTACGTAGAAGAGGGTTTGTTGGGGAGAGTGGAAAAGGGGGAGGAGGTTGACGAAGGCGTGACTGGGTCAGGTGGGGCCTACACACACGACGGCAAGTGGTAGACATTTTATTATTATGTCTCGCGTGCACACCGTAAGCAAAGTGAAGTTTGGAACGTGAGATGGCGTAAGCGTACAGAAGACTTGCGGCTGTCATCCCGTCATTCTAGGGCATATTATTTTTGTTGTTGTTGTTCCTCGTGGTGCGGGGCAAAAAACGCTCATTTCGTTCAATCGCGGTCCGTTAGTATCACGCGGAGAATGGCTGGTCCATTGTCTTTCCTCCTCGTGTTTTCTTCCCATCACCCGAGAGAGAGAGAGTGTATGTGTGTGTTTACATTTTTCTACTTTTCCCACTAAATGCTTTTGCACGACTCTGCTCCTATTGTGGACGGGATGTCGGGTGAAGAGATCGTGGGATGTGGCACTTTCTGGGTCTCGTATGTGCGTTCTTAAACGGGACGTCCCGCCTGTGTGCTTTTCTTTTTTTTTTCGCGTCTTTCAGCGGGTTTATGAGATAACGCGCGCGCTTAACAATCGCCGCATTCTTTTTGGACCCGTAAACTATTAATCGCTCTCAAAGGAGCACTAAAATGTCATTTCTGACTTCTCGTTTTTGTTTTTAACGCGAAGGTCGCAAACCACGAAACAATGCGAGATATACTAGCAATGTCTTGACTTGCTTTATGGGAATCGCCGTGGCGGCTTTTTTTTTTTGTTCGTTTGTTTGTTTTGCAAGAGCGTGCGCCGAGTTCATGATGGTTCTCGTTTGTAAGGACTACTTTTTTTAAGGGCCTGCAGCCTTTGTACGAACAATGCACTTGTGCCTATTCGATCCATGGTCTTTCTGTGAGTGGATGCGACTGTGTGTTTCACAAAGTGTGATGATGTCGACGATTCACGTATGGTTTACTAGCAAGAGGTAACATTGAGAAATCGATGGTACAGTGGTAACTAACTGTTCCGGGCTGCTCGCCCGAAGGTCACCGGTTCGATTCCAGCCGCGGCGGTCGCATCTCGATGCAGTCGCTCCGGTGTCACGTGTCTTTTTTTTTTTTTTGCTTCTTCTCCCCGATTCTGTTTTTTTTTTCTTCAATCAAGGCATGTATTATTTGCCATTACGAGGCGTATAAGGCTTTTCCCTGAATAAGAAAATTGTGTACTTTCAATTAATTTGCTTCGAAAGAAATAGTTGTCTCTCTTATTCGTTCGACTAAGCGAGAGTGGAGATCAAACGACTGCCGAAGGAAGAGCGACACAACACGAGCGCTCACATTGTGTCGTTCTTCGTCCGTCGTCTCACTTCCCGTGCTCCCAGTTCGTTGAATGGATGTGAATTACCGCCTTGCCCACCAACGACCCTTTTGCAGTTCTTCTCTCCAGTGCCTTTGGCTGATGTCGGGACAGTGATAGTGTCTTCGTTGTGTAATTGCTTAAATTGTACAATTTTCTTCCCTACGAACTAACCCTCAACGGCCGGAACTGAAAGTAGCCCTCCTTATTTATTTATTTATTTGTTTATTTATTTATTTATTTATTTATTTATTTATTTATTTATTTATTTATTTGTAAAACCCTCAGGGTACATTTCTACATTATAGAGGGGAGGGGCGGAAATACAGATGAACAACAAAATAACTACAGGATTATGTAAATACATTTAACATGAAGATAAGTATAATGACGATGCTATGCATGCAAGGAGTTTTATTTAAAAAAAAACAACTGAACCAGAACCACAAAGAATACACCAAACAGTCAATAACACTTACGCGATTAGTACAGTTCACGATTCTGAGTTTATTAGTGCATTCCTAAATCGAGTGGGGTCGGTGATGCTCACTAATGATGCAGGTAGGTTATTTCCAGTCTATTGACGTTTTAGGGAGGAATGATCGCGAACACGCTAAGGTTTTGTGACGAGGTACGCTGACCTTGTACACGTGATCGTGGCGAGCAGAATGGTACGATGCCGGCTGAATCCAAAGCGAGCGAAGGAAAGGATTGTGGTGATAGATTTTATGAAATAATGAGCTCCGCGAGTTCTTTCTACGAATAGAGCTTCAAAACCGAAACTTGTTTGGTCATCACAACGTTGTTAGGTTAGGCGTCAGGTCTGCGTAACAGGTTGTGACACCGCCTGGTGGCGCCGCGTTCCCACCGACTATACGAACGGGCGCGGTTCTGTGCAGCCGAGAACGGAAGCTCGTTCAGGGCATCACTCGATCCTCGCGGCCCGGAAGAGCTGTCCACCGCCGGAGACCGCTGTGTTCTTCTCCTGTGGCTTCTGTGGCGGCATCGCAATGGAAAGAGACGGATCGCGCCTTGCGTGGCGGTGTTCAGGGCGTGGTGCAGCGACCGCGAGAACGGTTGCCGCCTCCCTTCTCACCGGGTATATCGACCCCATCTCGTTCGCGCCGCCAATCTAAAAAGAGCGGTCACTCGGCGCAGGATGACCCTTGCTTGCTTCTATACTGGACGTGCGAAGAGAGGCTGATGCATGGCTGTTCCCGTCACGCTTATCTGTAAAAAAATCGTTTCAAGGAAGTCCCGAGCGAATATCTCTATAGTGAGAGAACGGTAGTCGTTACTGATGCAAATATAAGTATATAACAGCGGATTATGAGGACTTTGCGGAGAAGAGATGTTAGAATAGATCGCCCGGAATACTAAACTTTGATAATAATAATAGTATTCGGGGTTTAGCCCCAAAATCACGATAAGATTATAAGGGAAGCCGTCTATACATACGGTCTCCCTAAATTACCGGAGGGCTCCGGAAATTGAGACCACCTGGTGTTCTTTAAGGTGCGCCGACAATGTGCAGTACACGGGCAGTGCTTTGGTTCCCCGTCTACGACCATTGTGTGGTGGTGGTGGTAGTGGTTAGAAGATGAGAAAAGGCACCTAATTTCTGCAACCCGGTCGGGAGCACGGCGCAGTGCCTGATTGTGTCCACGGGAACGAACTATAGCGCCCTGCCGGAAAACCCCTTCTGTAAGGGTGTTTTCTGCACACTTCACTGGAAATAGTGCCTATGCATGTGGACGTACGAAGGTGTACAGCTCGCCCCGCCGCGGTTGTCTAGTGGCTAAGGTACTCGGCTGCTGACCCGCAGGTCGCGGGCTCGATTCCCGGCTGCGGCGGCTGCATTTCCGATGGAGGCGGAAATGTTGTAGGCCCGTGTGCTCAGATTTGAGCGCACGTTAAAGAACCCCAGGTGGTCGAAATTTCCTGAGCCGTCCACTATACGGCGTCTCCCATAATCATATGGTGGGTTTGGGACGTTAAACCTCACAAATCAATCAAGGTGTACAGCTCCAGTGGTGTGTAAAATACCTCGCACCGAATTTCAACGACGTGGTTACATGCCCCATACGAGTGACACCAAGCACATGCCGCTCGAACGAATCCTTAGACGAGTTGGTACATAACTAAATATGATGAAAGAATGCATGAAGGATCCACCAGGATGCACCATAGGATCTACCAAGAAGGCTGTATAGAATCCACCAAGAGTGCACCAAAGGATCCACCATAGAGTGCTGTATCTGGGCATTTTCTTTATTGTGGTGGATCCTTCGTGGCCTGGTTATTACCTCTGACGTATTCACTTTTAGTTCATTAGTATTGCGACAATAGCAATGCAACCGCAACATGTGGTTATCCTACTAACCTGACCCTGCCGTGGTGGTCTAGCAGTGGTTAAGGCATTCGACTGCTGACCTGGAGGTCGTGGGATCATATACCGGCCGTGGTGGCCGCATTTTCTGTGCAGACGAAAATGCTTGTGGCCCGTATGCTTAGATTAAGGTGCACGTTAAAGAACCCCCACGTAGTCGAAATTCGCGGAGCCCTCCAGTATGGCGTCTCTCGTAATCGTGTGGTTGTTTTGCGACGTCATACCGCAACAATTATTATTAGCCTGCTAACCAGAGCTGCGTTGACACTAGGTTGCTTGTCAATATTTGACTATCTGGAATAACTAGGCTGCACAGATTACCTTAATTTACGCAATTGTGGTATATTTCCCGGAAATATTGTGCGGTAACGCTTAGTTAAGGATTGATAATATTTGTTCGAAAAAAAAAAGTTTTACTGTTTTAAGCCTGTCTTGAATATGGTTGGTTGCCTTGCTATTCGAAAGGTGTTCGATTAGTGTTCAATTTGGTGTGAACGCTACAAGATTCGTATTCGATTCGCTTATACATTTCACTATTCGCACAACACTAGTTTAAACTTTTGTATTTAGTTAGCACACGCCCAGAACCAGCACTGTTCCTAAGGAATGACATTAGTTTTTTGCAGCGCTTTGTAATAAAACATGTAAATAGGCAGATCATTCATTCCGTGTCGTAGTGAAATACAATGTTCACATTCGTCTCACGTCGCTCTCTGTGTGCGTTGTTGCAGGACCGGCGCGACCTGGTGAGCGGCCACGCTGCCGCCGCAGCGGCCGCCGCGGCCGCCCTGGGCCCCATCACGAGCCTCAGCTCGCCGAACCCGAGCACGCCGGGAGCCCTGGGCTCCGGTGCCGCCGGCTCGTTCGCCGGCGGACCCCCTCCGCCGCCGCGGCTGACGCCCTCGTCGGCTGACTTCCAGCCGCCCTACTTCCCGCCCCCGTACAACCTGCCGACGCCGACGCAGCAGCAGATCGACTTCCACGACCCGTACGCGTCGCACCACCTCAACAGTCTCGCCGGACCGCAGCAGTACCACCAGCTGCACCCAGCCGCGGGACACCAGAGGGGCTTGTCCAGGAGACCCGAGGACGATCTCCTACAGGCGGTCAGTGCACACGTGGACCACAGCGGAGGGCGAGAGAGCGTCGCCAATTGGCTTATTTATCTCCCGATTGCGTGCGGTAGGGGTCTCGGCACGTGCGTTGCGGCTGTGCGGGAAGGGCCGTTCCACGCACTTCCCGCGCAGCCGCAATGTACGTGCTGGGACCCCAACTGCACGCAAGCGGGCGAAGCCCATTGCCGACGCTCTTTCACCCTCCTCAGCGTCGACAATAGGCTTATTTGTCTCCCGATTGCGTGCGGTAGGGGTCCTGGCACGTGCGTTGCGGCTGTGCGGGAAGGGCCGTTCCACGCACTTCCCGCGCAGCCGCAACGTACGTGCTGGGACCCCAACTGCACGCAAGCGGGCGAAGCCCATTGCCGACGCTCTTTCACCCTCCTCAGCGTCGCCAATCGGCTTATTTATCCCCCGATTGCGTGCGGCAGGGGTCTCGGCATGTGCGTTGCGGCTGTGCGGGAAGGGCCGTTCCACGCACTTCCCGCGCAGCCGCAACGTACGTGCTGGGACCCCAACTGCACGCAAGCGGGCGAAGCCCATTGCCGACGCTCTTTCACCCTCCTCAGCGTCGACAATAGGCTTATTTGTCCCCCGATTGCGTGCGGTAGGGGTCCCGGCACGTGCGTTGCGGCTGTGCGGGTGGAGCGTGTAAAGGCCAGAAGCGCGTGGAACGGCCCTTACTCCCACTTCGGGGGCTCTGTCAATTCTAATTCATTTCCATTCCTATTCCGTGCACTGGTGATTAGCGATGCACTCAGAGAGCACGAGATGTAACATTTGTGGACATCCGAGCATGGGGTCCTACAGGCGGATGGCACACGAGGCACAGCGATTATACGTAGTGTGCAGAAACTGTCAATTCCATTCGCATTTCGTCACACGATGTGCTGTAGAGTGCGCGAGCATAGAACTTGAGACACCTTCGAATGATACCCTGTACGAGTGATCAGTTCAGGTATTGCGGTACGAAGCACGACAGCTAAGCACTGTCGGAGGCTGTCAGTTCTACTCCGATTCCGCTCGTTTTGAATTCCCACACTGTGTTGCGAGGTATGGAGGAGCGCGGGAGCGCGAAATTTGGGCACGCGATACCGTCGGACGATCCTGTTCAGGTGATTAGTATGCACGCCTACAGCGTGGGCCGCAGCGATTGCCCCCGCTTCGGTGAGCTGTCAGTGCCAATTCATTTCAGTTCCTGTATACCGTGCAGTTATGTGCAGTGCGTTCCGTAAGCCCAGGTTATAACCAGTACACCTCACGATAATCTCCTGTGAGGGGCAGTCTTGTGTACTCGGGCCAAGTTGGTGCGTGGCTTCAAAGAACGAAGAACCCAACCTTGATGTGCACGTCCTTTGATGCTGGGTTTGTCGTTCTTTCAACTTCTGCAGGTGGTTTCATAAGTCGCACAATTTCATTATCGTTGCATGGAAGGAAGTCTGGTCCCGTCACTTCCGTGGCATAGAGTGTTGTCGGCTTTAAACAACTTTTAAAATTGTCTAAGGAAACGATGTGTGAGGAGGATAGGCGGCCTCTATGCATAGCAGCATCGCAAATTAACCTGTCGATCCCTTTCCTCTTCGAGTTGCTACAGCGTTCGCACAAGTGGTGTCCCAACAGGGCGTACCGACTGAGAAGACAAACAACCTTAGCATTGGAAACTGCAGGCTGTGCCAGAAGCATCTCCGGTCTTGTCTTCTCTGTTTGTGCCCTTGCACTGCACTGTAAACAGTGACCACATTTCTCTTATCTATGTACGTAGTTCTAAGACAAGTCGAATCAACAGAGGGATCTTGAGGTATCACTGTATACCAGAACAGCGATGCACGTATGGTTGACCTTTGCTTCCACATATTGTAGCTCAAAGGCATACAACCACGCACAAGACAGACAGCTACAGCCCGACACACAGCGCCGGCTTCGTGTACGTAATTTGTCTTCCCTGACTGTGCCCTTGCGCTACAGTACCTCTTACGCCCCGACTTGCATTTTCTTATTGAACCTACAGTTCTAAGTTGAGAAGGATGACCTGGAACGTTATCCCTACATCTCGACATTTCAGTGGCGTGCAGAATAGCTATGGGTACACTGCCGTTTAGATAACGACCGCAGCCACAACACGCATGGCACACCCGTCACGTGACGCCAATGCCTATGCCAATCGGAACGCTCTAATGCGACTGACGCCGTGTGCCTGTAAGAGAATGACCTCCCTGTTCCTTGAATGCCAGACCACCGTCGTCACCACCATTCCACTCACGTATGAAGACAACACACGCTGGAACCCCCCCTGCCACGCACACAGACACAAGTGATGTTGCTTTAGGCGGTGTTGGTTACCCACGTGCATTGAGAAACAGTCGGTCGTTTGTTGGTTCTGTATTTTCTCTACCCGTTTAGTCACGCCATTATACAGGAAGCATCCACTAGTCCAACAAGTTCCGCGCTACTGCTTGTCTATACTGCTGCTGTGTTAGGCTATAGCCGCATGTCCCGGTGGTTTGTGCTGGCGCGGTCCATCTCGCACGCGTGCCGTGTTTGGCTAACTGAAACAAACACTCGAGAAACTGGCTGCATGTGCGCTCGTCGTCTTGAATACATTCGACTTCGCCCCGTAGAGTAGAGACGCTTCCCGAAACGTGGCACGTATGCAGTCAGAAAAGCGGCCCTGAATCCTTAATGTGCCACCCGCATGTACGCGTCACAAAACGAAGAAAACGCGAGGTTTATACCTCGGAAAGGTCCAGGCAATGTTTTTATACGGTTGAACTTTTTTTCTATCTTCCGCTGTGTCGTCTGCAATTTTTCTTTTTGGGGCAGACGGCGTCCTTGCGTTTTAGAAAGCCGTAAATATCGTCTGCGCAGCGGCCCCTCCTTCTGTCGATTCCGTCTCTGTTTGTTTCTTTGTAGTATCATCCTTGTAGTATCATCCTGTAGTATCATCCTTGTAGCGCAACGGGATGGGTTTAACGACCGCGAACTCCTCAAGGTCTGGCCAAAGTGTGCTGGCTTTGCATTCGCGGGTTTAAAACGTCGTGTAACTTAGGCGGAGCAGCAAGAAACTGTGATGTGCCGATAGCAACGAGTGCTTAGCGAAGAACGATCAAATTATTTGAACAGCGTTTCTATATTTTATTTATTTATTTTATTTATTTACAACATACTGCAGGCCCACATGGGCCCAGGCAAGAGGGGTAAATTGCAAAACAAAACACAGCATTTCAAAAGGCGAAAAACAAACAAAATAAACGCTTACATTTCAATTTCAATGTTAGGTTATGAGAAATCGATCAGGTCAATTGACTCAACAGAATCAATCAATGATAATGGCAGTGAGTTCCATTCGTTAATAGTGCGAGGAAAAAAAGAAAATTTGAAGGTGTTAGTTCTTGTATGATATGGAGTTAAAGATTGGGGATGATGACGTCGGGTTAGTCTAGTTGATAACGGGCGTAGATACGGTCCTGGATGAAAAGAGAGTTTGTTATTCTTCAGAACAACTAAAACCTCGAATTTTTTTAAAGCGTGATAGCATTTCACGTAAAAACCGGTCGATAATAGAAGCCGTGTATTATTCACATACCAATATCGGGGCTCTACGTATCTTCGTGAGGGCTTCATGAAAAATTTAAATCGCATCCCTCGACCATTTTTTCATCAGATCAACGGCATTCACACCGTTAGTAGTCGCAGTAACATTGGGATGCGATGGTCACACGTGACGTATTCTGGCACGCCTCAGCAATGCAGGGAGGCCAGGGAAATTCCTCGTCCTAACTCACAGGCTGTTCCCGTTAGGCAGCTTTAGAATAGTGATCGCGACGCTTTACGCAATTGTTAATCGCCGCTACTCATGCATGCGTCGTTCGTTATAACCTCGTAGCTGCCCATGTTGAGTTACGAAAATAGCGTTTCGTATACCCAAGCGACACTTACCCACGTATTCACAAACGCTCCTCGACTCAGACTTTCACCCTTCACTTGACAGAGTTGAGCACTGCGCCGCTGCTCGGCTGAAAATGACGCTGCGCTACTCAAGAGTATACCAGCAAATCATCACTGATATGCAGTGACTTGCCCTGCCTAGAGATGGCGCTCCCATCAGCTTTCTCAAGTGAAGGAGCGTTGAGTGAAGGGGGCGTTTTAGAATACGGGGGTTACTCTACGTACGTCATTCCAAAGCTGTCGAACGATAACGTAAGACGCGTCGAATGAGAAGGAGGTGACACTTGCGACACGCGTTGCAAGGGACGGTGTCAGGCTTCTAACCAAGGCGAGGGAGAGATGGTGCGCTGCCCCCTCTCTCTCGAAATTCTGATGAGGGGTGTTTTTCAGGATACAACTACTAAAAGAAAGTGTTTCATTTTTCTAAAAAAAAAAAAGTCGAAGTTGCCGCAGACACACGCACTTGATAAATGTTCCTGACTACGGGCCTAGACGAGGTACAAGTAAGAATCGACCGGCGGTGGCTCAAACACGTGCTTCCAAAACACGCTCGTTGTTACGTTTTGGCTGGTGCCGCGAGAATCTGTTGATCGTGGAATATTTTACAGCGCAACGGGTTAGACACGGACGGAGAAGGGACACAGCGCTGAGTGTCCCTTTTCTGTCTAACGCGTTGCGCTGTAAAATAGTCCACGATGAACATCCATCAACTCGCGATTCTGCTTGAGAACCTGTTGTCGGGCAAACTCAGCGATGCGAAGACTGTGACCTGTTACGATTATCACTCCCTATAGCGTATGCAGACTGACGGTAACGGTGGTTGACGTTTCGTGTCACGAGAGCTAACACGTTGCCAGGCGATGCGCCGACAAGTGTTGTCGTGGCAATCGTGACGTTCAAAAGGGGATGACACTGTTGAGTAATCACGTGAGACGCGTCACATGTTCCGCACATTGTGACACGTGACAAGGCACATGTGGCGACACATGTATCATGTGACGATATGTGACGCTATCTATATTTCCCGGCAATGCGCAGACACAGCATGTCATTAGAACGGCGCTTGCAGCATTCACGGTGACGACATCATTGGTTGACATTATGAGGCGCGCCACATGTTGTGACACGTGGTGACAAATTGCACGTGATGCCCTGTTGCCTATAGCGATGCGCAATCACGTGATGTTATGAGAACATATGCTTGCAGGTTGTTGCAACTACGGTGATGCCGTCTTACAATGTAAGATGCCGCGTATGTGACACGTGGTGACACACGTCACATGTGACGTGCTGTAAGCGCTGCAGTTGCTTGGTGACGTCATCGTTGCTTGGTGCCCAGGCTGACGTCATCGTTGGTTAATCATATAAGAAGAGACACACGTGTCACACGTGATGATGCACGTCGCATGGGACGTCCTGTAAACAAACGTTTCCCGGTGATGCACATACAAGGGATTCGTGGCAACGTGCTTTCGGTGGCGTCAGCGTGGCTGATAACAGAAGACACGTCACGTGTGTCACGTCCCGTGCCATCGTGTCGTACGTGACGCACTACAATGCATAATCGCCTCACAAACGCTGTCGACCACGATATCATACTGATAAAGTTCTGGGTGATGCCTAGTGGTACATTATGTAAGCCTGACCAAGTGACGCATAGTGTAATGTGTGCTTATCTATTTCATGTGATGTTTGTGGGGTCTCGGCGAAGCGAACGCGCGCATCGCCACGCCACGCTCTTGGAATGAACGGACACAGCAGACACGGTCGGTACAAAGTACGCAACATACATACATTTATTAACTAATTTAGACGACGATATCGTCCGCCGAATGTTACATCAATTTTAACTAACACGCTACCATACAAACAACATAACGCAGGGACACACTAAACACACAATAACATGATAAACCCACACTAACACACCCAACACACTAGCACATACCCAAGGCGGCGTCCCCAACGCCTGACCTTACACGCGGGACCCCGGCGCGAAGCCCGCGGTGCCGAGCACCGGGGACCCGCGCAACAGACAACCGTTCGCGGCAGCCGCCACGCGCAGAAGAGGCTCGCTCAACGCTCGCCCACCACCAAGGCCCGCCTTCCGCCAGGGGCCACCACCGGCGCTACCACTCTACCAACAGTGGTACTCAAAGCGAACACAACGCCATCTATCGCCCGGTGGTGGTCACCACCGAAATAACGCCCTGGGGCGAGACACGTGCGCCACGCGGCGCAGACAACTTTACAGGGGGGGGGGGGTGTCAGCACCCCCACATTCCCCAACCTTAAATCAAACCATATCCCAAAATCGAAAATTAGCTACACAAGCTTTAACAAAAAAAAATGATATCGCACGACCATAATGTCCTTGCACCACGACACCGCCGCTGGTCGACACTGCTGCACTGTCCGGCTAGACTTCCCCTCAGTACCGGCCCCGCAACAGCAACGTTGCCGTCGGCGCGACGATCCGTCGCTAGCGCCGACACGTCTTCCAGTTGCGACCAGCACTCGCGAGGGCGCCGGACTGCAGGCAGTTGCGCAGGTCCCAGGCATCTCCATCGCCCGACCTCACGACCGCATTCCTGGCCAGCGAAGCTGACGACGTGCAGGACAGCGGGCCGTGAATGACATCCCTCCCGCTGAATACACCAATAACAACAACAAAAAAATGGAAAGAAAACAATTGAGCAGGTCCTCGGGAAGGGAGCTTCGAGCTTTTCGTCCACGTGGTACGTTGGTCAGTACTGCTAGCTAATACATCGGTGGCAGCCGAGACGCCCATCAAAATAAAACAAAAATCACTTTTCCTAACTCGTGCTCACAAGAAAAAAAAGTGAGGGAAGCGGAGTGCGACACCTCAACGCCACGATCCACCTAGTTGTGCCACGTGCGACAGGCGGCTGCGTAGAGCCTTAGGCCTAATGAGTCGCACGGCAACAACTGGCATCCACCCAGCACCCAGCCTAGGCGCAGAAGAGGCAGCCGCGAGGAGACGTCCACTCTGTAAGGTGGCCCTATCGCTCGCCGCACACAGCAGCTTACCGAGCGATCGGCGTCCACCGCCCCGGGCGGTGTCACGACGCCCCGGCGTCGAGCCGCAATACAAGTCAGCAACGACGCCCGGCTCCCTGAGCCCAAAGAGATAGAAGAAGCTATTCACAGAAAATCGGACCACCCACGAGGCTTCCGTACTCACTCGCTTCGGGCCTGGCCTACAAACCACGTGCTCTAGGCCTTGCTCACCCCAGGATGCGGACCGCATGGCTCTCGTCCTAATTCAACAACGTTTTTGAAAACTAACAACAAAAAATAACAACACTTGCGAGCAAAAAAAATAAATAGAAAGTCAACTTGCCGACAAATTGAAACACGTTACAAAACCAATCTCCTCGCTTCTCAACAAAGCACACCACCGACGCTAGCAAAGAAGTCCCCCTTAGGCCTACTCTACTCCGGCTCTAACAAAATCCCTGTACCGAACCGCAAAAACTGTCGTCCGATACTCCAAGAGCTCCACGTTGGGCAGCCAATGTGGGGTCTCGGCGAGGCGAACGAGCGCATCGCCACGCCACGCTCTTGGAGTGACGGACACAGTAAACACGGTCGGAACAAAGCACACAACATACATACATTTATTAACTAATTTAGACGACGATATCGTCCGCCGAATGTTACATCAATTTTAACTAACACGCTACCATACAAACAACATAACGCAGGGACACACTAAACACACAATAACATGATAAACCCACACTAACACACCCAACACACTAGCACATACCCAAGGCGGCGTCGCCAACGCCTGACCTTACACGCGGGACCCCGGCGCGAAGCCCGCGGTGCCGAGCACCGGGGACCCGCGCAACAGACAACCGTTCGCGGCAGCCGCCACGCGCAGAAGAGGCTCGGCTCGCTCAACGCTCGCCCACCACCAAGGCCCGCCTTCCGCCAGGGGCCACCACCGGCGCTACCACTCTACCAACAGTGGTACTCAAAGCGAACACAACGCCATCTATCGCCCGGTGGTGGTCACCACCGAAATAACGCCCTGGGGCGAGACACGTGCGCCACGCGGCGCAGACAACTTTACAGGGGGGGGGGGGTGTCAGCACCCCCACATGTTGCTTCACCCACAAACTTTCTAAGCAATGTTTTGGAATCGTCGTGGTTGTTTCGGATTGTTCAGTTAAGATCACGCGCAGGACGTAAGTATATTCGAGCTTATTTGGGAGCGTATACGCGAGCAACAGTACTAACGCCACAAGGATAGATCACCGAAGCATATAAAAAAAAAAACGACGCATTTCACCGATAGTCAGACTATTGTCAGCACATCCCGTTATCACTGTTCAGTGCGTGCTGCTTGTACTATCGGCGTCAAATGAAACCCGAACAGCGGAGCGCGTGTTTCAAGCATTAGTGTTGGCCATCCAGTCATCACCATTGACATGCGTGCACATCCGGTTTGGCAACACTGCGCGATCCCCTTACAGTGCGTTATCTCCGTTTCTGCTCTGTTTTCGTGTGGTGGTAATGGTGGCCATCGTGGTCGGGCCGAGCGCTTTTGATCGTATCACTCGCGATTCCTTGCTTTTACTTCAGCGTCGCAGTGCGATCGGTGACTTGGCGCGATAAAACAAAAAAGAGAAATATAATCGGTTTGCGATTGATTTCCAAACGATCGTCGTATCTCGTTCGCCAGCGCTGCTTCACCTGCACCCTTCTTTCGGGGACCGACTCGAAAAGGCTTCTTAACTGGAAATGCCGAGCGTTTCTTCGGAAGAGAGAGCGCAAATTGTTTCGCTTCACCGGCACGAAGTGAAACGGCGTGAAATCGCCAGCATTGTGAACCAAGTTTTGTCTACTATAAATAGAATTTGCCAAGCATTCCGTGAATATGAACTCCGTGATGACAAACCGTGCTACAATTCTCGCCTTCGGCTGCAGTAGTTTAACCTCTGTGTTATTTTTTATTTTGTTCTTTTCAAATACCATACCTGGAACACAAGCAGAAATATTGCACTATAGAGGGATCGTGCAGTGCTGCCACACTGGATGTGCGGGCCTGTCTGTGTCAATGACTGGTGGAAGGCGCGCACTAAGCCATTGATAAGACTTGTGCCACGCGTTCCGCTGTTCGCGTTTCATTTGATTTCATTTGATTTCATTTCATTTATTGCATCCTTAAAGGCCCGAGGGCATTACATAAGGGGGGGGGGCAAAAAATACGCTGTGAGTGTGTATAATTCAAGTTGAAGAAATTATTATAAACAGTACAGTTCTAATATGGTAGTTTGGTCAAAAATGACAACAAAAACGAATCAAATAACACACAAAAGAAACACTTTGGCTGGGAATTAGAGTACAAACAACTATAGGCACAAGCAAATTATACATACAGTACGTTGGTAGAATATATTTACAGCCACGGGTTAATGGGTGGAATCAAAGTGGGATTCCAATTTTGCGCGGAATGATGTGCGGTCAGGTGTGGCAACAATGGTGTCGGGAAGGCGATTCCAAAGTGACTCGTTAGTACCGCGATTCCAAAGTGATGCCGATAGTACCTTGGGTATTTCCTTTTGCTGGACTTAGCCCCAGTAGAGTGTTTCAACTAGCATAACTATTTGCCCTTATACTTCTCGACCGTCGATACGGCGTCACGACACCTGCCGTGTACCGCGCAGGCGAACATGCACCTTCCGGCGTACGGCGAAGGGCGTAGAACCGAACCGACAGCGTACCCCCGGCGGCCCGACGTGCTGGTGCACCACCCGCACCACCACCTGACCGAGCAGGACTTGCTGGGACTGCACGGGGCCGCCGCTGGTCTACCGCCGGGCATCGTGGACGACGGACAGACCAGCCCCTGCTCATCGGACGACGGCAACGATTTCCTCGAGGTACGCTTCTTGTATACCCCCAATATTTGCGATACGCCCTATACTCGGGGCACACATATGGGCTGAAAAATGGCTGCGTTTACAAGTTCTTCGCGCACGATTAGTGTGAATTGAGGACTCTGTCGCGCGCGTGGCTCCTCGTAAGAACTCCGGGGGCTGTCTCGTGCCCTGCATGGGACACCCGAGACACCTTCTTACATTGAAAACTGTTGCGAGATCACAACGCGATCACAGGTGTCCGTAACCACTATCGCAAGAAAAGAAAAAGCTTAGTAAATAAAGCTCATTAAGGACACAATGCTATTCAAGCCCGGGTTCCCTGCGCGCCAGCCCAGTATTCTACCACTGAGCTACGCCGGAACTTGGAACTCCATTACAAAGGGGCCTTAGGCAGGCTTGATGTCGGGAAGAGGATTGCGTTAATATTTGTAATAGAGCTTTTCGGAACAGCGAAGGAACAGCCACGCGTCTCATATTTCGAATTGCGCAACGAGTGGGTCGTCCAATGCTTCAACCCTTTAGAAAAAGCTAGATCTTGTTCACCAATTAACAGCGGCGCATAACCCACTGTGGGGTATTGTGGGGATTACAAAATCTTCTGGCATACTTCTTCATCATCGTCAGCCACAGCCGAAAAAACAAATTGCACTCAATTCCTTGCAAGCGTGAAGCGGGTACCACGCATCTCCAAAGAATGACGAAGGATGGCACAATGGACGCCTGCCTACTACACAATTATTTATGACGTAGTGGGTACTGTTATGCCAGCGAGTCCTCGTCAAACGACCGTGCCTCTGAAAAAGGCAATCTGGGTCAAGGCCAGCCCGCCGTCTGCCCGACGCGAACATCTCAACGGCGTGAACACGCGCGGCGCCTCTCTCGCCCACGTGCATTGAGTCATCGGCGCACGTGACAGCGAGCCGGCGTTCTCGTGCCTGGTGGTCTGACGCATGGCGCGGCGACCCCCATTGGCGGAATCTGCCCGGACGACCGGCGGCGTTTCTGATTGGACATTTTGGGTGGACCCGGTGTAAATAAAGAAGCCCTGCGGCGCGTCGCGATCGGCGGTCCTATGTGAGAGGCGTCCCCGTGTCGGAGTGCCGACATGTGTGTGAGTCAGCGGTCTTAGGCGAAAGGCTGAACTATGTGTTAGAGAGAAGAGCTCGGCTCTTCGAGTCTCTGTCGGCCCCAGTGCCGAAATTGTAACGCCTCTGTATATATGCTGTACATAAACCTTGTTTAACTCACCGTCGTCTCGTCCGCTCGTCTTATCAGCTCTGCGCAGAAGCAGTCGCGAGCTGATAAACATACGCTACCAAACGGCTGGTGACCTTCCCGGCGGAGTTGAAAGCAGTGGCGCCTCCGGGGCCGTGTTGGCGTCGCCGTCTTTCGCAACAGTGGTGGCTTCGGCGGGATCGGTCCGTCGTTTCTCAACAGTGGTTGGCAGCTGCGGGATCGGCCGGCGTCAGCGACATCGATGCGGTGAGTGCCTGATGTTTTCCCCTCAGTTCACCAGACTACTCTAGCTCAGGTTGTAGTAGTTTAGAGAAGGGCTGTGTGAAGCATTAGAGTGAGCTTTGATCGTTTCAAGCAAAGTCGAAGTGCTTTGAAACCAAAGTTAATGCGGAGGGGGTAAACACGGGAGAGTGAAAAATTGCTTGCGCGTCTTGCTAGTTGACTTATAGTGGGTACGGCAAGTAAATTGTTAACAGGGGCAAACAGCAAGAGGCTAGTGTGAACGATGGAGAACCTTAAAGTGAAGGAACTCATCGAAATTTGTGAGGAACTCGGCATTACTTTGGGCCGTGCGAAACGAAAGCAAGCGATCCTTGAGATCATGAAGGATGAGGAGTGTCGGTTGAGGAATTGCGCAACGAGTGGGTCGTCCAATGCTTCAACCCTTTAGAAAAAGCTAGATCTTGTTCACTAATTAACAGCGGCGCATACCCACTGTGGGGTATTGTGGGGATTACAAAAGCTTCTGGCATAATTCTTAATCATCGTCAGCAACAGCAGAAAAAAAACAAATTGCACTCAACTCCTTGCAAGCGTGCAGCGGGTACCACGCATCTCCAGAGAATGACGAAGGATGGCACAATGGACGCCTGCCTACTACACAATGATTTATGACGTAGTGGGTACCCTGCAATTGTGCTTGACAGCTGCTACCAAAATAGTGTTAGAAAAAAGGGCCCTGAAAGGCCGCCGCTCTTCAAGCTTTCGCTGTGACCGTCGTTTTGGCGTCGGTGTCGCCGTCATGTTCCATATAAGGTCCAAAGCGATAGCATTGCCTGGCGTGTAGTATTTTCTATTCGCGAGCGGAAGCTTTCAATCCTGAGAACACAGGAGTCAAACGTTATAGCGCAGCTTGCGGCCTGAATTACAACTAATTCTCAGCCAGCTAGAAAATCGCGCCCCGCCGCGGTGGTCTAGTTGCTAAGGTACTCGGCTGCTGACCCACAGGTTGCGGGATCGAATCCCGGCTGCGGCGGCTGCATTTCCGATGGAGGCGGAAATGCTGTAGGCCCGTGTGCTCAGATTTGGGTGCACGTTAAAGAACCCCAGGTGGTCAAAATTTCCGGAGCCCTCCACTACGGCGTCTCTCATAATCAAATAGTGGTTTTGGGACGTTAAACCGCACAAATCAATCAAAGCTAGAAAATCGCGTGCTCTTTACTCGCCATACAATTCCATCAACCCGAATAAAACCACGCCGTAAATCCAAAGCACGTGCTCATTGGCTGGTTTGAGCCTCTTGATTTGCATAGTCACTGCGGCCGCCGTGGGATATGCCTGCACGTGTACGCGCTAGCGCTTTGAGATCACGTGGAAAGTAAGGCACGCTTACGAAAGAAAAAAAGTTCTCAGGGCTATGACGCGCCCTTACGGTCGGACCTGGCTTCTTACCCCCTGTATTCCCCTCCCTCCACAGCTTTGAGCGCACTCTCTGTAGTATAAGAGGAGCGATAAAGCGCTCGAAGCGTGCGACAATCCTTTTAACTGCGCTTGTATTTGACGAATACTGAAAAAAAAATTGGGGCAATTGATTCATGAAACAATAAACTCTTTCAATGAAGTTATTCGATGGTTAGCGGGAAAATTGTTGCAAGTCCCCCTTTAGCATAGGTGAAGCCGGCCGGCTACGTCGGGCTGAGGAGCGTGAAGGGGCGCCGGTGGGGGGGGGGGGGGGGTGCTGTGTCGCTCGGGCAGGAAACTGTATTTCGTGTCAGTTCGTGACTGCATCCGCTTGCGCTTCACAATACATCTTTGTGGAGTGTTTTTGGACAGGCCCGAAATCTAACTTTATGGCTGCCTGCTGAAGCAGTGAGAATACTCAGTTCTTTACGCGAAGCGTGTTCAGGTTTTCAGCGGTTCCGTACGCCAACCGGCGAGAGTAAAAAAAAAAATCCGCCATATCCACGAAGTGAACGATGATGAGTGGGCGAAGCTCCGGAGGTAAACCTGGTAAACCATGTATCCTCTGTACATTTTGCCCACTCGATTTTATTACATCGCTCCCCCTAGCGTACGTCGCCGCACTAAATCGAACGATTGCCTTCAACCAATGACACGCGCCATATGTGACATCATTCCTATTTTATAAGATCTCACGTCTTTCATCAACTAGAAGTACCGCTTTCTAGTTTATAACATCTTGCATCTTTTCATTATCAGCTACAAGTACCACCATCTAGTAAACACTACAAGAACTAAACGAGAGGTGGCTACATACAGGAGACGGTACCGCCATCTAGTGAACACTGCAAGAACTAAACTAGAGGTGGCTACATACAGGGGACGGTACCGCCATCTAGTGAACACTGCAAGAACTAAACTAGAGGTGGCTACATACAGGCTACAGGGGACGCACAGCCCACGCCCTAAGGAGCTTCGCCCCTAAAAAAAAAAGCGGCCTTCGAAGGGAGTCTCTTTTCCAGTAATTTGTGCCGTCTCCGTAGGCTTGTCGGTGATCAGCCCTTTCTGATATGGCAATGTCATTTTTTTTTATTGAGGTGACTCGCCATATTTCGCAAATTCGCCATCGCGTCTGTCTCTATCAAATGAAGTGTTGCCCCGCTAAGCCCGTGAATGGATGTGCCATTCGCGGCATGGAGGAAAGAAACAGTTATTATAGGGGGGCAGTGTGCAATGCTACGAAAAAAGAAAGAAGGAAAGATGTAGCACGTGTAGGTACACATACGCAAAGCTTCTTCGCCTGCCCGATTTTCCCGATAGCGCAAGAACTCTTGATTTTTTGTTTTCTTGTCTCGTGGCCCTCAAACTTTCGATGCGGCGGACTGCGTACGTTTTCCACGCAGTCGCGAATGCCACGTTTTTTTTTTTTTTTTTGCCGCCCTCGCGCGCCGTGGTCGTTCAAGCATGCAAACCAGCGCGCGTGCGCACACTTCTGGAAATCGTTTCTTTGTTTCACAAAACACTATAAACAAAAAATAAACTTCGCGAGAACCAGAGAGAGAGACAGAGGAATAAATCAAAGGAAGAGACAAGGAGGTTAACCTAGAACTGGTTTGCTACCCTGTACAGGGGTGGGGAAAAAGGGTCGGAAAGAGGAACCAGAAATGAGCAGGGAAAAGTAACGAAGCGTAGAAGGGTATAGTATTTAAAGTTTCCGCGCACGCACATTAATGTGCGGACGCGGGCGTCTGCGATCACACACTCACCCGCCTTCTCTGGTCCTGTCCACCTTACGCATATCACGGGTCGACACAGATTGCGATGCAGAGTCGGCCGCGCGGGGATTCGTTTTTTTTTTTTTTTTTCTGGCGCGCTCGGCCGCACGTACCGTATCGACGTCGTTCAATCTCATTAGCGATGCCTGGCATTCCACTCGCCCCCTCAACCTCGCGTGACTCCTTCGATTTTGTGTCGATTGGGAGAGCGTTAATTTGTACGCCGATCCCCCCCTACACACGCTTACACTATACGCGCGTGCTTGCTTGCTGATTGCAGCCCGTTTCCTTTGAAGACAGCCTCTAAAT